TCCCCCCTCCCTTTTATAGGGCTAACATAGCGATTCCATGAAGAACATGTAGCAACTGAAGAAAAATTAGATCAGAGAGAATCAGGGGCCACCTTGATAGCCATGGATAAATAAGGGATGGGAAGCATTTGTGATTCTGTGCCTAGTTCTAAACTGTAAATAATTGCTTTATAAGCGTGCCAGCTTTGACCTTCCCAACAATTCATCTTTACTGGGCTAAAATTCCAACTTTTTGGCCTTCGTCAGAGCCTAAAAGTCGAAAAACCAAGTGAGATCAATTCTTACATAAGGCCAGACAATAGCCAAGACTATCCTCTGGGCCAGGAGACACCGTGGACCCCATTAACACAAAAAGTTACATGGCTCTCCTGGTCCTTAGAGTGACCAACCAGAAATGGGCTAGAGAATAATCTGGAGGTATGTCCATCGAATGTTCTGGTAACCCCCTATTTTCCAATGGTAACATTCCATTTCAAACTAATAAGTAAAATACAATGGCTGTACATGATTTTGAGAACACTGTGTGACTTTGGGTCCATTCTTCGAAAACCCACACCCATCGGAAGGAATATAAATTATGACCACTTGTCATATCGTGGTGTCAAGAAAACTAGTTCCGGAAATTGTAATAGATCGGCATGTTCCTGCACGGGTCTCCTCTGCTATGTAAGATAAACAGTTAAGCTAAACCAGTATAAAAGCCCTAGTAAACATGTAGTACAAGGGCTTCTTTCAATTCCGCATTCTTCATAGGTAGAGATCCGTGAAGTACAAGTAAATATTTACAAAAGTAGTCCTGGCGACCGAGGCAGACTAAGGCAAAGGTCGTCAAAGAAGGTGACATTTCACTTTCTAGAGGAGTTGTAACTGGTAAACAACGTCAACAGTAGACACGAAAACCATGAGAACAGACTATAATTACTCACCCATGACAGATTTCACACAGCACATGTACAACAGGAAAATCATGATAGTAGTAGATGTAGAGGAGTACTGTAAATCAATATTAATGGCATAACATTCGCCTAAACTGATACAATGAGATTCATAAACATAAACAGGATTGAAAAAAAAAGTGATAAACAAACTAATGAAAGCCAAGAAAAAGTGAGGAATCGGAAATTGACGGATATGTTACGAGAACGATACGACACCGTATGACAGACAAGGCTTCGTCATCACCGTGACAGTTTTTTACGTGGATGACAACCAAAGAAAACGAAAAACGTGCCAGGGAAAGGATGAAGATGCCGCGTGACGAGAAAAAAATCCAACCAGAAATCAGCTCTCCTTTTTCTGAAAGGCACAGTTCAGCTCTAATCAAAGTAAAGACGTTCCGAATGCTCGTATGGCCTGTACAGTTAACTACTCGGTAGTATACTATCATGTGAAACCGGTGTTTTTTATTACCCAAGACGATTTCGGGATCGAAAAGTCGACTTCAGCGAAAATCTCAACCAACTGGACGTGAGAAGGGAAGTACGAAGTCCCACAACGTTGGCGAGTTCTGGACAAAAGTTCGGCCTCGGACGGGACTCAAGCCCGTATCTGTGCTATCCGGGAACAAGTAAGGGTTCCGGATAGTATGAGGGTTTGCGGATACCGAGGGGAACAAGTAAGGCTTCCAGGTAGTTTAAGGGTTCAAGGATACCGTAATCGGATAGCAGAAGTACAGGTTGGAGTTGTGCCCAAGGCCAAAGTTTTATCCTCAAATAGCCAACCTTGTGAGACTTTCTGATCGCATACTGAGTCAGGATAACAGAAGTTTACAAAATATTGAGCCAAAAGAACAACAGAATATCAAGAAGGGGTCAATGGATTAAGGGGTTACTCCCTCCCCAGCTAGAAACCTTGAAGAAATCGGTCCCTGTCGTTCAATGCTGGTCTTACAGTAGTAATTTTATACTGGTAGTACTGTACTATTTAGTAAAATCTATTCCAAAAGTTGTAAGGATGACCATATAGCATTTACCCAAAGCAAAACCATTGTGATAAGCCACATAACTGAACCCTTTTCGAATCGCCCAGACGTTGAGGGGCAAGTTCGGCCAACTCAAAGAACCATTGAAGGTCACCCGATGTTCAACTCGCTATTTTTTAAGGGTTTTTGACATTTTCGGTCGCTCTAATCTCTTTGTAATAATAAATGAGAGCTCTAGAAACCTTTGACAATCAGTTCTACCGACCGAGTAACTTAGTAATACTTTTTTGTCAATTGAAGGTGCGACCTAAATTGCGAACACTTCACTCAGGAACGGACGAGTTCTTAGAAGATATTCTACAAGCGTCGAATACTGTGGGAAACGCAATGCGGTGGAGCTATTTCAAAGCATAAATAAATTACTGTGAATAAATAAGAGTATTCAAGTGAGAGATATAATATGCAAATAATAAATCTATACAAAAATATGATGGACATGTGTACGAGATAACCGTTTCTCCGAAAAGTTTCCCTCGAGAACCTTGATAGCACAGGAGTATTAACATTTTATTACTTTATGGCAAACGTAGTAGTAGGGCCTCTTACTAGTAATACTACTTGATTCTGTATTCCTCCTTTTCTTTTTCATTTGCTTCCAAATCTCGTGCTCTTAAAGCCTCCGGGTGTTACTGCCAAGACTTTTTACATGATTAAAAGATAACGTTTTTGAAGTCGATCAAACCCGTTTCTGGGATGCGCCCCGCATGCGACATCAACTAGAATCGTGGTGGCATATTGAATGCGTGTGCTGCCCATACATTGACTTGTGGTGGTCAGACAATTTGGAAGTCACCGCTTTCATCTTCTCAATCGTGTCTAGCACCAATCAAATAGCATTGAGGAATGAAGGGCTCGGGACTTGGGCGAGTATCGATCCAGAGTTGGATTCTAGGGCAATGCGCAAGTTCTGTTCTACAAAAAAATGATGGCAATGTCTGGAATGTGTCATGCTCATTCCCATTTCCGATCGCATAGGAATGTTCGGTCGCTGGATTTCTCTCCCCCAGACAGACTACATATGGCGTGACCGCACCCACTTCACAAAATTGATAGGACAAGTGAGCGAAGCTTGACAGTAACGTCGGCCAAGCTGGTAGCCTAATTAAGAAACTTATTTAAAAAAAAAGAAATTTCGTTCTGCAAACATCAGAAGTACTTGACAATGGTCCTTACTGAATCTTAGGGTATATCTTTTCGGCCTCCCGAGGCCAACCAGGAGGAATGTGAATCTCTCCTTCAAGGAAGGTTCTCTTCGGTAAAATAAAAACTACAGGTAGGTTCATTCACGGTAAAAACCCGTAAAAATCCGGTGCAGTGCATTTCGAAGAAAAAAAGGTTGCACGTTAGAGTGGGCAGTCCGGAAATCGACAGCAAGCAACAGGTAGAGAAAATGTAATAGTATTCAATTAAGCAGTGGCGGTAATAAAGACGTTCACCAGTTGTGAGTACGCGAGATCAGACCGCACCCAGGCTAGTTCTAGCTTCCATTCACAGCAGTCAAAAAACTGGCACAAGACAGGTCTGCAAGTAAAAAAACACAGGCCGCCCTTAGAAAATCTTTGTGTAGGGTGACATTGAAATTCCGCTCCGATTCCAAATAGAATTTGCATTCGTGCTCTACACAAAAGTAGTAAATTACTCCAGTTTGGGGTAAAACGGTAAGCTCATGAACATCTAGTTTCTCAAGACTTTTTGGAAGAGGTCCAGGCTATTTATGCCTTTGTGGTGAAAAATGACGAAAATTCGAACCGAAGTGGTGTCAGTAGGAGCTCATAGTAGTTCTCAGGGATGGGCCTATAGGAGAGTAGTACATGATCTGGACTGTGGACCGGGAAGACTGTAAAAGAGGCCACTAAACCAGGAAGACGCTGTCATGCAGATCGCTGTCAAGGTTGCTGATTTACCGTATTGTCGGTTGTAAACTGGTAAACTGAAAGAGAG